ATCTTAAATTAGATATGTGTCAAACGTCAGTTTGTGTTCTAATTCTCCTACATATTCCATTAAGTGCAGTGAATTCTTACTTTCTTTGTTATGTTGTTTTCTGACAATTTTCTTCATAAATATCAAATGCCCTATAGTTATGCTGAACTTAGCTTGCTTAAATTGGTGGTATAATACAATCTTGTGTTGTAGAATGTAGTCTTCATTCATGAAGATACTTACTGTTATATATGACGATATTACTTTCTGAAGTTCATGTCAAGGGCTGCAGCAGATGATTAGTAATTCTAAAAAGTTCATATAAATACATTAAAATAAGTTTATAGAGATATCGTGAAGGGAATAAAAAGAAGTGATAAGTCCAATTTTCTTTCTTCCACAAGTTTTATATAAGCAGAGTCGAAGCATTTGAAACGCATTTTTCCCAATAAAGACATTTTTAAGGGAAAAACAATATAGTAATAAAATGGGAAGTTAGCATGAAACTCATACTCCATCAGTATGGGGTTCACAAAATTCGAATCATTTCAGGTTCTTACTAAATTACAGTTAGGCAGTTAATTTGATTTACAGTTGTGTATGAACACTACTATTTGTCACACCCATAGTAACAAATTTAAAAGATAAATTGAATAATCATTTGAAAGGACCAAATTTAAGGGTATATATATATATATATATATATATATAGATATCATATCATCCATTTTTTTTTTTTCACTTGATGTTGTTTGAATGTTGATAAGCTTCACCTCTGATAATGCGCATTTCTCATTGTATATTGTTGAAGTTCAGCTTGAACGACATGGGCCCCACGATGAGGAAAATGCCCCATCTTCCTAAGGTGAATGAAGAGCTAGCCAACACCATTCTTCCTCCTACATCTTTCCAAATACAGTGATAGCACTTTTTGATCAATTTGCCTAACTTTAATTTACTCATAGTCCAAAATACAAGTGTTTGTTAGAATGATAAGCAGCTAACTTATCTTGGGCGCCAAAGGTGACAACTGGTTTATGTTCAAAAATCATGCGATTGACTATGTACTTTGGTGACCTTGAGTCTCGTGATATAGTATTGTTGTTTTCTTGACATTACTATTGTTGTTTTCTTCACATTCGGTGGAAGTTTTTTTGTTTTTTCGGTAACCTTGAGTCCTAATTAAAAGTTTTAGTTATTTCATAGTTAAGCGTCTAGCAATTGACTATGTACTATATCAGCTGTTGGGACACTAATTTACATGGAGGAAAAGGGAAGTCCATCTATTTTGTGTTACGTAATCTTACCTAGGACTTGAGACTTGGTGTAGAGACTTGGTGTAGGTGTTGTATGGTTTCAACTTTCAACCTCGAGCAACTCTAACCCAACTTTCGTCCATTAATTAATTATATAAATTTCAGTTCATTAGTAAAGTGCATGTGTGATGCACGTAAGAATAATTGATTTGCTTTGTGATATTGTCTTTCGGATAATTATGTCTGTGTGGTATTAGGTTTCATTGTTGTCCATAGTTTCAATTGCAATAATTTTATAAACACTGTCGAATATTTTTTAATGACTATAATTTTTGCAGATCCAACAACAATTGTTCACTGAGATTGAATGTTAATTTATTCCTGTAAAAATGTTTTAAGGTCTTCATGCGACATCAGCATAAAGTTTTGCAGGATTAAAGGTTTTACTTTATTTTATTGTGGGGGTATGTTGTTTTTAGTAGAGGAATTTGCACCCCTTACTACAAGCATAAAGTATTTTGTTGTAGTGCCAAATGTATCTGAGTTATACTCCTTATTTAAGAAGCGTTTGGTTCCCTTTTGTGGGCTTTTATTAGAGCATCTCCAATGCATAAATGTTGTTATCACATAATTTTTGACAAATGTCAATTATATATCTAGATGGATTGTGAACCACATAAGACAATTGTTAAGTTCACAACTTTAAATCTAAAAAAATTTCTTCAATGCACAATGTGATCAAACATAATATTGTCCACTTGGCAAAAATAAAAAAAAAATTATAAATAAGAAAGAAAATAAATTAAATAATTAGATATTTAAAAAATGATAATAATATTTCTCTCTCATCTCTCAATTGGTTGGCTACAATGAGAAAGAGAATGTGGATTAACCACATTCTTCTTTACACTGTATACATTAATTATGTCTACCTCATCACTATATTTGTGATTACATTGTGCATTGGAGGATTAAAAGTGGAGACAATTGCTAAATTTGTTAATATAAAGTGTAATTTACTACAACTACTTTTCACCATTGGAGATGCTCTTGGGGTTAGTTGTCTTTTGCCTTTGGTAATTTAGGTAAATGGCTTTTATTAGGTGTTAGTTGTCTTTTATTCTTGGTATTTTTTTTTTTTTCAAAACGATTAATAAGATAAAACTCCAAACAAATAGCGTTTTACAACCGATCGATCAACTGACCAACAAGGGCACCAGCCAAACAAAATGTACAAAGCAGAAGCCCCTAGGGGAAGCAACAAGTGCAACCCAAGCCGCAACAAAATGGTCTTTTATTCTTGGTAACCTGGATAAATCCAAGGGATGTGGTCCAGTCTTGTACTGACTTTCAAATTATTTATATATTATTTATTGTTTGTTAAAAAAATATGTCCATTTTTTAAAGTTATTTTTTGATGCAATTTATCTCTCATAATATTTGTACAAATTAATTATTTTAATAAAAACGAAACTAAGGCCACCATACATAGGGTCAAGGATCGGGGGGAGGTCAAGTCGTTAAATTCTCGTCCGGTGGCTGAGAATGAGAAAAGGAGATCAAAGTGAGACTCAAAGAACGAAGCAAAGCGCAGTGAAGGCATAAGTAGTAAGGGAGAGGAGAGGCGAAGTTGACGAAGCGAAGCGAAGCGAAGTCATAGAGGAAAGAAGGGAACTCTTCAACTCTTAGACGCGCTTCTCTCCTTCAGGGCATGGAAAGAAGTTTTAAGTATAATTTATTGTATATATATAATAATAAAATATATATATATATATGTATATATTAATATATATATATATATATATATATATTAATATATACATATATATATATATATTTTATTATTATATATATACAATAAATTATACTTAAAACTTCTTTCCATGCCCTGAAGGAGAGAAGCGCGTCTAAGAGTTGAAGAGTTCCCTTCTTTCCTCTATGACTTCGCTTCGCTTCGCTTCGTCAACTTCGCCTCTCCTCTCCCTTACTACTTATGCCTTCACTGCGCTTTGCTTCGTTCTTTGAGTCTCACTTTGATCTCCTTTTCTCATTCTCAGCCACCGGACGAGAATTTAACGACTTGACCTCCCCCCGATCCTTGACCCTATGTATGGTGGCCTTAGTTTCGTTTTTATTAAAATAATTAATTTGTACAAATATTATGAGAGATAAATTGCATCAAAAAATAACTTTAAAAAATGGACATATTTTTNAGCAATTTAGAAATAGAATACTTGACAATTCACATGAATTTCAAACTAAAAGTATATTTCACCTGTTCAATTGATATGAGGTCATCATTATTAGAACATCCAACGTACCATTGCAACATCCTCAAATAATGTTATAGTCGCATTTTGGTTATCTCTCACGACGTTCAAGACCAACCTATACCTGCAATAATTGGATATTTTTGAAAAAAAAAAATATTTTGTATACATAACGTATTAGACATGGTCTTTTTATCATCTTTAATGTCTTGGAGTTGTTGCCATGACTTTGTTGTTGCATTTTTGCATGACTCGTTGTCGTCGTTCTTCTTAGTTGCAACGGATTTCATATTCACGAGAATTAAAACAAACTAAGATCATGTTGCCTCATGCAAAATGTATACAAAAAGACCATGTCTAAAACGTTCCGCTGCAACTGAGAAGAACGACGACGACAATGAGTCATGCAAAAAGTGCAACAACTTTAAGGTATTACAGATGACAAAAAGACCATGTCTAATATGTTATGTATACAAAAATATGTTTTTTAAATATCCAATCATTGCAGGTATAGGTTGGTCTTGAACGTCGTGAGAGATAACCAAAATGCGACTATAACATTATTTGAGGATGTTGCAATGGTACGTTGGATGTCCTATTAATGATTACCTTATATCAATCGAGCAGGTGAAATATACTAAAAAAACGAAATTCATATAATGAATTGTCTGAGTATTCTTTTCTAAATTCTTTTTTCTTCAATACTCATTAGAAGCAAGAATCATCTAGGTAAATCGTAATACAGATGACTGAGCTTGCAATTAACAACTGAATTTCAATTCCTAGTTCCTGTCAATGATAAATCATTCAACTCAAGATAGGAGATTTCAATGTGGTGGCAGAAGCAATTGCAAGGTAACAACGTATACATGGTGAAGAAATGAAAGATAATAAAACAGTTACCTCAAACAACACTATTGAAAAAAGGAATAAGAACATAAAAAAATGAGCCCTCAACAAATAGAAGATGAAAATGATTGTGTTATTGAAGTTGAAGATATGTGACAATTAGCAGTCTTAAAAAGAAATGTACAAGGAAGCTTCCAAAAAAAAAACATCTCCAATCATGAACATAAAGAAGGAGAAGAACTGAATCACTGTAATTCATATTAGTTTCTCTTTAGTTATTTACTCTTTTAAAATAGAAACACATTGCCCTTCCATATTAAGTATTTCCCTTTTCTTTTAATTTGGGACACATTATTTTCGATTAGTTATGCATTGGTACCTTCATATATCATTTTAGTATCCTTATTTATATTTTTATTATTATATATACAATAAATTACACCTAAAACTCCTTTTTATTATAATAATTAATTGTCCAAATATTATGAGTGATAAATTGCATCGAAAAATAACTTTTAAGTATGGATATATTTTTTTAACCAACAATAAATAATATATAAATAATTTAAAATCACTTCAAGATTGGATCACGTCCTTTTGTATTTGCCCATGTTACCAAGGAAAAACGACAACTAACACCTAATAAGAGTCATTTACCTAGATGTCGATTCATTATAGTCTCTTTGTGGAATGATATGACTCAAAATTTAACCAAATTATTATTCAATTTGGACTCCCAGCATTAATACATACAAATATAATTATTAACATAATGAATAACAATTGTTAATCTCAATGTTACTAAACTATAATTCTATAACATATATTAAAAGAAAAAAGCATAAAGATATAAAATATATTAAATCAGCCCTCCAAAATTTTGTTTATATATTTTAACTTTGATAAAATTCGCCGCTACCTTACTAGTCACTGTGAGAAAAATCACATCCAAGGTTAATATTCGTACTTCTGCAGAATAGGAAGTTTAAAGAACTGTTTATTCAAATAGCACATCTGCCTATCAAAACTCTTGAATAATAAAAGAACACTGAAAATAAATTCTTATCCACTACAACCCAATGGCAAGCACGCACGAAAAAATTTAATTCGATTATGTTTGTTTTTATTTTTAGTTTTTAATTTTTTTTAATAAAAATTAAACTATGTACTTACATTCTTGTCGATCATTATCTTTTGTACTCGAGTTGATGAATTTTTCCCACAATGGATTTCTGAATGTGTTTTGAGTAATCTCCAAACGATGTGAATTGGTTCTTGCCTCAAAGATGATCTGTTGAAAATTATATGACCGAAGCTATTAAAATCTGTTGAAAATTATATGAACGAAACTACTATATTTACTATTTGTTTGGTGGTAATCCTAATCCAATTAAGTAGCTAACGTGTATAATTACTCTTGTTAGACGTCCGTGTCATCTAGGAATCTTTGTATATTTAATCATACTTTAATATATTTCTTACGTCTAACTTTTAGATTTAGTAAAAAGTACACTGAATTAGTTATAGAATTTTATAAATTATTGTTT